CTCGAACTCACGAATGGTGAGATCATGACCTGAGCTGAAGTCGGCCACTTCAACCCACTGAGCCACCTAGGTGCCCCCATACTAGTTCTTTCTTGTAGCACTTTTGGAGAAGTATTTAACTGGAATAATATAATAATAATTTTTTAATGAATTTAAATCTGGTCTTTACTGCTATCTTCCAGGAAAGGGTGGGATCCTTTGGTTGAAAGTAAAAAGAAAAAGTAATTACAAAGAAAAAGTAATTACTATAAAGGCAAGAAACCTGGAGTGGTCCTGTGGGTTCTTGCAACTACACAGGCCTGTAAGCTGGGGAAGGAATTAGAAACAACAGAAAAACTGCATCCACCTACTTAATCAACATTTACTGAGCTCTTATTTTGGACAAGGCCTTGTGCTAGAAGGTGGAGACATGCAGGTAGATGACACAGGGCCTGCCCGTGAGGAGTTTACAATCTAACTTGCTTATTACCTTCACTCTGGTGTACTGAGACCAGGAATGTCATTTGCATTTCTGCTCTCAACCTTAAGAAAACAGCAGATAGTACACTGTGGCTGTATAGCTGCTGGGTTGATTACACTCATAGACTTTTCTGCAAAGGCTTTGGCAACAGGCAGCAAGAGCCACAAAGATATTCCTACCCCCTTGGTCTGCCTCTGGGAATTTATCTTGAGGAAATACCTGAGATAGGGTTAAGGATTTATGTTCATGGACATTCATTGCTGTTCTAATGAAACAGGGGACATAACCTAAACTTCTAACAATGGGGAAAAGATAAAATAATTGATGGTGCATCCCTATGATGGACTATTAGGTAGTAATTAGAAGTGTTATTAAAAAAAAAGTAATAACATGGGGGAAAAGACCGGGAGTGGGGGGGAGGGCTACAAATCTCTACTGAATGTGCTCAGAGATACGTGATTTAACTTTGTATGCCCTCTGTATTTTTCAAATTTTTGACAAACACGTTAGAGGATTTCTACAGTCAGAACTTGTTTTCTTTCTTTCTTCCTTTCAGAGATGTAATGGCAGAAGAGAAAGCTATAAAGACAACCAAAATGACCAAGATTTTGGGAATTGTATTGCATGTGGATTGACCCAAATTAACTGAAACTCCACATTTTACGTGTCAAGCATTGAGTGAAGTATCAGTAATACTAGTTGCAATGTATTAAGTTACTACCATGTGCCAAATAGAGGGGTAAATAAATGATATAATTGAGATCCCAACCCAGGTTTGGTTTAGAACCTGGTTTTTTTTGACTGTGCCAAATACAAGCAAGTTAAAGAAGAGAAATAAACAATTCATAGACAAATATTGCACATTCAGGGAACGGGCATCGTATTATGTTTGGTCTGGGCTGCTGAGAATATCCACAGGTTATATACATTTTTCCTTGCTCTACAGCGTGTGGGTATATATTTTCCCCTGGAGAATATATGTGTTTGACATCCACACTATATAGTCCTCGTTTATTGCCAGGAACGATGATGTCTTATGATTTGCATTATGTGTGTACGTACACACACACCCATCTTCCTTTTCTGGACCTTCTGTTTACCTTAAGAGAAAGCATTTGTTTTTGCACCAATCAAGGATTGCAGGATAAACATCTGTTAATGTCCCAGTCCCCGAGACTTCCACAGCTTCTGGATGTCAATTGAATGTGCAACCGCCACCCGCCACCCCCACCCGCGTTGACGTGCAGTGCCTAATCCCAGATAGTTTAGGTTGCACACTCCAGGGCGTTTAATCGCATCCCACTTTTTCCTCCAGACCTTCCCCTTCACCCCCTCCCCGATGAACGGGCAAGGCCGAGAGCGGGCGGCCTGACCTTGGGTCATCTTCGCCCGTGGAACTGCGGTGTGACCTTGGGCAAGTCCCCCGCTCTCCCTTCGCCAGGCCGGGTAGCTGGAGAGCCGGATCTCCGCCCCGGCCGCTGCTCAGCCGAGCGGGGCGACCGTGCGTCCGCACCCCTTTCTCCCCGGACTTCCTCCGCGCACGCCCCACCTTCCCAACCCCTACGCTCCTGGCGTTGCGACCGCCTCCATTCGCACGGCCCTTTCATTCCAGACGCTCGTTTACGCCGCGCGGACTGGGAGGGTGCGATTCCCGGACGCGGCCTGCGCTGCGAGCGCGCGGCCGTCCCGCAGGCCGGCGCGGCTTTACGCCGCTGACGCAGCGCGCCCAAGATGGCGGCGCGGTCGTCGTCGGGGGTGGCGGCGGCAGAGGGGGCGGCGGCCGTGGCGGCAGCGGCGACGG